GCCACATAAAATTTTCAGAGGAAAGGCAATGTGCCATTGATTTGAAAGATTTCCAAAAAAAAATATAAAACTGACTGATGAATCTTAGTTGTTCACAGATCACCAATTGTTTAAAATTAAGTTTCAATATTTTGCCAGTTTTCTTTTATTTCTAGCATCAAAATTACTTTAGTATTTCTCTTTATTACAAAAATATTTCCTGTGCACTCCACAGATAAGCAGATCTGTTTTATATACACAAATTCATTAGTATTAAAGACTGGACTATTTCCTAATTTCACACAGGACATGGGAAAAAAGAACCCCAGCAACCAATAAACAGAACAACACACATAGTAGCAGCAAGTTTCCTTCATTAACAAAGGAAAACTTATTCATATCAACAACTTGAGAGGAGATATTAAAAATATCCTATGTGAGCCACTTCTCAGGAGTCTATATTATATGAACCAACATTACTACTGATGCAGAGTACTTTGTCTACAAATATGGCAATCCTTATTTTACAAAAACCTAGATCTTGGATAATTTTAAGGATCAAATTTAATGCATGTATAGCTGGGATTTACAAGTGCGTCATTTTGAAATTTCTCTTTGAAGATGAGTCTTGCCCATCTTAAGTTGCCAAGTTTCGCATATTTCACATCTTATGAACTCAGTTTGGCTAGGAAAAAAAAAGAGTGAAGTAATGCTCTGTGCACTCAAAAGGATTAAAATTTGGTATGATTACAGCAAACAGCAGCTAACAATGTTCTAAAGCATTTCACACTGAAAAGTTCATCTGACTTTATAAAAATGAACTTGTATGCAAAATCCATTGCTATGAGGCCCATACAGAAGTACTGTAAAATTTGAGTTCTTCAACATAACAGCATAGTTCCCTGCAACTTTTCAAAAAATCTGACATGCATAAAATAATTCGAGTGCTTTGAATAAATGAGTTCGATATATCACTAAAGACGAGTAGTAACACAGCCCCAGAAGTGATCAACATCAGTAAAAGATAAATGTACAAAGAAGTCATGTGTTATTCGATCTCTACTTCTCTCATAATTTCCAGGTTTCACAATTCTCATAGCATCAGCGACCAAGACATTAAAACTGTCGTCATGTGTGCAGAAAATTCTCTGTTCTCCAAACTAAGCGATTTGGCTTTGATATACAATTCTTTATACATGCCAACTAGGCTTGAACCAAGAGGCACTTCAAACCAAGCTATGACTGTAAGGTTACACAATTCACATCAGTTCCTGGAGTTCAGGAATCCAGCAAGAATCCCTTAGGTTATTCTTGGGCTGGGAACTCATTTTGAAATCTATGCCCAGCACATCCTCTGAATTACTTTTTTTAACATATAAAATACGATATTACCATAAAGAAGTCATGGTCAGGATGAGAGCTGCTCACTGAGCATAGTATAAAACAGGGCTAACAACTCTCAAGAATTGAGTGGTCCAGAAAAGAGCAGAAGGATCAGTAATGCTCTGCTCAATGGTAGACTATTGGCAAATGACAGCTGCTTGGAAACTGGAGCGTAACTCCGTAAGAAGAAAGAAGGCAAGAAAAAAAAGACAGCTAAGCCAAGCGGTAGAACCTCAACAATCCTCTCGTCACTCACGGAGAATTGCTGCTGGTCAGCAGACACATTACAGCTCAAGCCACAGCTATGCAACTGCTAAGTAAGCATGCACTTCCTATTTTTAAGGAAAAGGCAAGAAGCTTAAACAAAAAAAAAAAATCCACAAAACAAACAGCAGCAGCAACAAAAAAAAGAAAACACTCCAAAAAAACCTAACAGCTGGTTTCTTCAACATAGGAAACTTTCACCCCCCCAAATTCTGCATCATTTAAGGATTTTTGATATTCCAGATAAGCAGCTTCTTTTACTTTGGGAGAATCTCGAGTCATGTTTTTCAGCAGTCCAAAGAAACATAGGGGGAACAAAAATGTAAAGAGTAAGAGATCAGAAACTACTTCTTGACAGTTAAGTTGGCAAAAATCAAAGCAGGAAATGTGAATGATTAATGCTTAAGAAGAAATGCTAAACATAATATTGACAACAACTTCTTACAGCACATTTTTAGCTGCTGAATGAGTTTTTAAAAATACTCAAGAAAACTGATTATTTATGTCAATAAAAGAGCTATTCTTTTTCGAATTTATAGTCACTGTACTGACTACGAAAACCCATTAACTTTACAAGTCTCCTGAGTGTCTTTAGCTTCACAAATCTAACTTTGTACTATGTTTTAGCCATGTTCCATGAAATTTTTTAAAAAGTACTTCTGGTTAAAGTAATCTTAAATCACCTTCTACTACCTCAAAGAAAAAGAAATTATTTATATGTACTCCAGAAGAACTTACCAAAATTAACTTTCACCATATCCAAAGCATTTTCACATATAATCATTTTTTAATCTCATGTTTTATAGTGCAAATGTCTTTGAAATAGAAAGTAATTAGTGTTTTCACCACAGGAGACAACATATACCAAGTACTGTACTTCGATTTCCTCTGTTGAGATCCACTACATAGCTCAATAGTGAGCAATATGCAAAAAATCATAATTAAGTTTATTACAAAGCATGTAATGCTGCAAGTGTTTAGCAGTCTGATCACAGAATTTTACGTCCAAGGTTATTTACTATTCCTGTGCTCTTCTCTACAATCAGACTTGTGACATGCTAATGCATATTTATATAATAAATCAGTAGGGCTTTGTTCAATTGCAAATACATTCCCATACCCTCAACTGAACCAAGTATCTTTACGAAGTTCCTCCATAGTGTTACTGCAGTTGTGTAACAGTTACATATTCTGAAATATATAGTAAAGACTCAGATGGAACTATCACCTACCACACAACACATTTTTAAAGCCTTCAACAAAACGAGCTGACATTTTATCCTCTGTTGTGGTTTAACCCGGCAGGCAGCTAAACACCACACAGCCGCTCGCTCACTCCCCCCAGCGGGATGGGGGAGAGAATCGGGGCAGGGGGGAGGAGTAAAATTCGTGGATTGAGATAAAGACAGTTTAATAGGACGGAAAAGGAAGGGAAAATAATAATTATAATGATAAAAGAATATACAAAATAAGTGATAGTGATGTACAATGCAATTGCTCACCACCTGCCAACTGATGCCCAGCCAGTTCCCGAGCAGCGGTCACCACCCCCCAGCCAACTCCCTCCAGTTTATCTACTGAGCATGATGGCACATGGTATGGAATGCCCTTTTGGCCAGTTTGGGTCAGCTGTCCTGGCTGTGCCCCCTCCCAGCTTCTCGCTGGCAGGGCATGAGAAGCTAAAGAGTCCTTGACTAGTGTAAGCACTACTTAGCAACAACTGAAACGTCGGTGTGTTATCAACATTATTCTCATCCTACATCCAAAACGCAGCACTGTACCAGCTACTAGGAAGGAAATTAATTCTATCCCAGCCGAAACCAGAACACCTCACATTTTAAATGGAAGAAATCAAGACGCATTTAAGACAATCTTTTTGACCACTGGGTGCCACTCTTGTTCTGTGTAAAATAAACTGCCTGGCACTCAGTCTTTTTTTTTTTTTTCCCCCTCCAGCTTTAAACAACTCTGATTCTTCTAAAGTGGGAGGGAAAGATGCAAGAATTTTTACACAAGTTTCTATAAAACACTTACTACCTTTTAAAACCCTTTAGTGTTGCTTCTAGCTCCAAGAATGCAATTTTGAGAGAACTCCAGTGCACACAGACCCTTATGGTATATGAAGGATTTTTTTTTTTTATGGTGAAGTTATGTAATAACCTAGTTATGCTATGTCTAAAGCATCACATTCAAAGGAATAGATATCTACTGCATCTGTGTAGCCCTGTAGCACTGTATTGCCATTGCTACTAACAGCTTCACATTGAGTTTGCAAGGCCTCAAGACTGAAGCTTTGAGCAAGCTTGTCAGGCGTGCTCTGTCTGAGCTTTTCCGACCTGCCTGAAGTCTTTTTTTTTAACCTGGTGCAGGTTTAAGAGCAATTATTCTAACTGACCAGGTGTCTATAGCTAACTTGGTTTACTTTCGTTGATCTTTGTATGCTATACAAGGAGTTAGTCCACGTAGAATGAGATATTTATGACTAACACGATGATGCAGTATATAGAAATACAGGCCTGGTATAATAGCAGACATCTTGAGAAGTGGAAACACAGGATGTGGCATATAAAAGCACAGCCGTGAGATGACACTCTTAGATTAGACTGTTAATATTTCAGTTGTACTAACAATTGATTCTTGTCTGAATATTTAAGGTGAGTTTCATCCTTGTCCATAAATTTTGAGTGTAACACTATCCTGCTGTGCACTTTATTTATCATACCAAATAATCCCATATCAAACATCATTGCAGGCATACGTATGTTACAGTCCTACTGTTTAATCCTATTCCTTACATTTCATAGATGGGAACCTGAGGTACAGACTAAGAAGTGCTCACAGAAACGAATATCATGTATGATGGAAATATCTACTCATCGGTCCAACTGAGAAAACAGGGAGGTCAGAACAAGGCTATGGTGAACTTCATAATCCCATTATCCACCCCACCAATCTTTAAAATGGCGCAGGTATCTTTCCACTGTATTGTGGCCCCAAGGTACTGCAGTCACAGAAGCAAATATTAGACCAAAGAATTCTCTGAAGTCGTGTAAAAGGTGCGACTGATCAGGGAGATGCACTAAATTACTTACAGTCCCAGGCTAACATCCTAAAGGTGCTATCATTATGCCTCCTATCCTTACTAAACAAATACTAAAATAGAGACTTTCATGTCATACCATTTATTTAATTTGTATTTCAAACAATACAACTAGAAACCACTTTTCCACTACCGTCTTTTATTTCAACAGATGTCCTTTCCCACATCCCTGCCATTTCACTGCTCTGCTCTACAAACTGTTTTGATAACAAAGAAAAATGCCCTACATAGTCCCAGCCTATGCATGGCACTACTGTAAAGTCTTATAAAATACCTGTATTCAGGCTGCCGACTTATAGGATGATCATCCCTTGGCCATCTGTATCCTGATTCATCCTGCAAAACGTACATGCAAAACAATTGTGTGACGTGTATCTCAACATCTGATGTCAGGTACAGTTAGTTGCCAAATGGTACTTATTCACTGCAAAACCAAAGCATTTAATGAGCTAAAAGAAAGTATTAGTCATTCACAGCAAGGTTCCTCTCAGTTTATTCACTCTACCCCATTCCTCTTATGTTTTTCCTCTGTCAATACTAAAAAGAGCAACTTTGAAATGCTGTACAAAACATAAAAACTACAAAAATTTCCGAACTATATACATAGGCCCTGACTAAAAAAAAAGAAAATTCTGCTCATTGAAATGTAAATTATCATCAATAGCTTGAAATTACAGAATTTCAAACAGCTGGGTTGGAGGAGCCAACAGTAATGACCTTTCAAAGGGACCATAAATTTTGTACTTAAGTGTAGCAACTGGGGGGAAAAAAACCTAAAACATTCAACATCATGACAGAATTTAAATAAGTGAACTGTGCGAATTAGAGGGCTAGGTAGACAACATTCAACAAGTTGCATGTGCAAGGACTTGTTAAATAGAATGATTTTGCAATCGTTCTTCTATTCATCCAGATAACTTTGCACTGCATTACAGAGAGGACTTCTGGCCACTTTTGTTTTCCCAGTTCAGACTCTGAGCTTTCCACAATGCTGGACAAGGGCTCTTTTCTAAGTCAATAGAGTAGCTAGGAAACACAAGAAGCAGCAAACAGGTATTACCATATAATCACAAGAGTCTTAGAAGCACAGTAACTGCAAAAAAGCAACAAGTATCAAAACCTGGATGTTTTTTCTATTCATTCTATTTCAGTTTATGAGAACAGCAGTAACATAAATGCTCTGTCTGAAATATTTCAATTGTTCAGTATTCAAGCATTAATGAGAAGATAAACATGTGAGAAGAATCACCTTACGTACACCTCGGTGTGGAGGGCCACTTCTTCTGTCATGGGCAAAACTGCGACCCTCTTCATAGTCTCTGTACTCAGTGTGACTGTAATCATCATACCGACTGTAATTCCCATCCCCAGGTCTTTCGAGCAGCGGTGGTTTCTTGGGCACAATGTTTACTACTCTATGGTAATCATCCTAAACCACAAAACAAACAAAATCATATTGCTTTTAACAGCTGAAAATCTGTAGTGAATACATAAAAGTAAAAACAAGTTATTTCTAAATATGGGACTATAATAATCTTAAAGCTGAAATAGCACAGGGGAACAACAAACAAAAATTCATGCGAGAATGATGGTGGAATAACTTATTAAATCTAATTGGACACAATTCAGATGTAATCCTTAGGCATTACAAGTTTAATCGTAGCGGGAAAATTTCTTCTGAAAGTTTAAAGCAGTAGCATTAGCTACTTTCTAAGCATCGGTTACTTTCTTTTTTTAAGCATTAGCTACATATATTTCTCAGAGACTTTTATGTTAACTTAGGAATGCAATAAAGAAAATTACACCTGTAATGCCTGCAAAACAAAGAGCCCATTGAAAATAATATCAGTTTTCTTAATGTCAATAACATCCTTCACGCTATGGAGATTATAGTGAAGACAGTCCTTGCTTCATAATCTGAATAGATAAGCACCTCCTCAATACAATGCAGTAGGTGATCTGAGGATTTCAAGTGACAGAATTTTAACACTCTCGGTTTTTCTTTTAATGCAAGTTTCGGATAGCTTTTTGCTAGAATGCAAAATTAATTTATTTTATTTCCTTCAAATAAAATGTCATACACCATTTACCAATTAAAGAAATCCTGTTTATTAAGTGCAAATTGCACAGCTGCAAAAGATACAAATTCAATTTTCTAGAACCAAGTATTATATAAGCCAACTGCAAACAAAAAGCAAACAAAAACATGAATGTAAGACCTTGTATTTTAAGTCTTCTTCCTTTAGCAAGATAATTTTTATATCGGCCTTAAAAACACAAGCTATAAATGCAGAGACTTGAGTTAGCATGTGCAATTTGGAGGGAGTTTTTTTAATAGTAGTGGAAGTCACAATCTAATGCACCAATAGTTTTTGTAGAAAAATACATTAAATTCACAAACTGCTAAATATTGTCATGCAAAAAAAAGTTAGTTCTGATTTCAGAGACCACCCAACAAATTCACTAGAGAGTAATCCAAAGCCAGCCTACAGCCATACTGATGCAAAGTAGAGACTACATAAGCATTCATACACAGCCACAATGCTTGATTTACCCTTACCTCCTTGAACTTCCTCCACGTGTATTTTTTTTTTTTTTTTAGTTTGGTGTCTGACAAAGATGTGCTCTGAAGCTAAAATAAAACCGCTCTGTGCTTTAATCTCAACCAGAAGTCCCCGTCACATAACTATACTGACATACAGAACGATAGTTACATGAAAGCTCAGGGTATACCCACTTACAGTTAATGGTGCCAAGTGCTTGCAACTTTATGTTGTTTACCAGGATCTGAAAGCATGTGTTTCTACTACAATCTACACTTGATATGTAATTAGCACCCGGTTTAGATTAGGACAAGTTTCTTGCTCTCTCAAACAAGAGATACTTCATTCTGTATCATTGGCATGTCTCAGTTCCATCATACTAACCTATCAGCAAATGCTAAGCGCATTCATAGATTGAATAAATTAATTCCATTTTACTTGTCTAGTCAAAATTAAGTCAGACCTCTATACATGGACACAGATACAATGGCACAGGCTTACAAGGACAGAAACTGCCTGCCAACTATCTTGAATCAGCAGACCTGTACGAGAAGGAGCTTCATATCCACCTTTCAGTAAGGCAGAGACACCAGATCTTGGTTTGCCCAACTACTGGGGTGTTGTTTTGGTGCAGATGGATAGTACTGATTGTGATAAATGAGTGTATTCTGCTAGTCCCTTCATTCCCAGCTCCAAACACATGTAATATAAAGCTAGCATTGAGCTATCTAGTTAATTCTTGCATCAAAATGAGTGCATCACATCTTTTAATTTTTAAAGTAGATTTTCATAGTGCATATGCCATGCATTGTTCCCTGGACAGCTTGAAAGGCTGAAGGAATTTAGGAATGTCACTGTTGCAATGGTTAAATTAAATTAGCAATATGTTAGTCAAGTCAAATGCTGATTAAAAAAAAAAAAAATCTGAAAATACATTCTGCCTTTCCTCATGTCCCGTTGCTGATAAATATTTTGGAGAAGCAGCTGACTAAATACCCTGTGCAAACTTATCTGATTTCCAGTTTGCTGAAAATGCAGAAATTTTGTTGTTGCCTGTAAAAAGAGTTAAAAATGTCACAGAGCAGCCAAACACTAGTACACTACTCAATAGAGAAGACTATGTAACTAGTTACCAAGTTACCAACACTGGTACGCTTCCAAAATGACATGCTGAAAATATGTTAGAGGGAACCCAGAAAGCATGCTAAATCAGCCACACCATTATTCCAACGTTTAAAAGAATTAAAAGAAAAGCCAGATAACAGGCACAGGTACCTGAAATTTTATTTTGCCAAATGTACATTGCACAGCATGTAAATAGAAGTATCAAAAAGTATTCTTAAAGTTCTACTTATGGTGTAATAGCTCAAAAGACAAAGCTACAACATGTTTTCTTTCTTCTTTAGAGACTTCAGACACAGGAGCAAAAAAAAAAAAAAAAATTTTACCCAACTCTTAGGCACAGAGATTTTCTAAAAGCATTCTAAAGTTATTCTACAGCAGAGTAAGCATAGCTTCTGCGTTTGCTTTTACAAGCATAACAGAGTAGAAGTATCCATGCCAGTAGAAGTCTTCCATCGACACTCTTCTTGAAAAGCATTTCCCTTACAAGGCTCCAAAATTAATTTCTTTAGCAAAGATGTATTTTCAACATTTGTTACACACATTTCCTTCTATACTTTAAGCACCATAATAAAACACTGCATCGGTGACAAGAACAATGCTGAACGCAGTCGTTTTACCACCTCAAATCACTTCAAAGATGTATTAACATTAAAAAAAAAGTCTGGGGAAAAATATAACATAGTATGGTCTTTGGTTCTCCAGAAGTTATTAAAAATCCTGTGTTTAATAACACAAAGAATTACACCCAAAAAAAAAATCAATTTATCAATACACAACTATTCTAAAACACTTTCAATAGATTTGAAAAAAAAAAACCAAGATTTAATTTTGTAGGCATCCTATTATCTCTGTGCAGATGCATTTGCTAGATCGTTGGCTTAAATGAATGAGAAAAGAACGGAAGTTGGGGTATACTAGGAACTTAAATACATACATAAATTCAGCCCTTATGGTACAAGTCATGGTATAAAGGTATAGTATAACAGTATAATGCTAAAGAAACATACTATGCACTTACATCAGGATGAATCCTTGGAGGAAGACGTTCTCTTGGAACTCTTTCATAGTCATATCGCCCTTCAGACCACATTTCATCTCTTCGATATGCCACTAAAGACAATAAAAATCCTATTAGCCAAAACCAGACTCATTATGAATAGACGAAAGGATAGTAAGCACAGAAATAAAGGTTCCCGCTCTTCTCCCAAAATAATGTAATATGCACAAGCCCTGTACATACACTTTTTTTTTAATTAGCCCTTTTAAAAGTAAGTCTCTCTAGTTATAGAAAGTAATCAATGAACTTTAAGCAAAAATAACTCACAGTACGTGCAAGAACAACCGAACAACTGGAAATTAGTGCAGTATAATCAGTATAATTACAGGACTTACAGATACTATAAACAGCTCTATTGAAATATATGCATATTGCAAATACCAGCTGTACATATAAATTCATACACACATACCTTCCAGCAATTTTGATATTGCTCTGCTAAAAATAGAGGACTTTTTTTTTTTTTAAGAAAATTCAACTCCTATTTATTAGATTGAAGAATTTCTACTTTTTTATATAATATAATAACTTTGATTGAATTATTTCATCATCTCAACCATCTGGAAAGAGGTTAAAACACAACACATCATTCAGCTAGTACAAAGCTCCGTGTTTTGAATACATGAATGAAATGCACTCTTCACATGCAGATTTTTCCTGTTTTAAATCGGGAGCCAGCAGAACACAAAAACTCCTCTTTCCAGAGAAAGGTGACTTTCAAAGTCAAAATTATTAACTACATACAGGTGGAAATAAACCATCACCATAAGTGATTCTAGTCATACTATGTTAGACAACACAAACTTGAGGAGCTGAAACCTTTCTGATTATTATAAAGGTGACAAATTATACACTATACATTGTTGAAAATAGGTAAGAAATTGCTAGAATTATATTTTTCAAAGTTTCCCTTCACAATGGTAGTTCCAACTATTAAAAATAATCAATAAGAAAAAGAAACAGCAGGACATATTCAAAAGGAGAAATACATAACATTATCTACTTTCACAAAATAAAACCACTTAACTGGAAATAGACTTACGAGGCTATATAAAAATATTGATTATTACAGATGTTAAGAACCAACATGACAAAAGGGTTTATCAACTGTAAACAGAGGTAGCACTGTCAGATACATGTTTTTGTGAAGAACAACTAACACTCACATACTTACTTTTCTGTCAGTTTTAGCAACTCTGCTTCTGAAGACCCATTCAATGACCTACAAAAAAAAAGAAACTGAAGTCAGCAAAAAAATGCATATATATTTATAAGCACATTTTTTTAAGTAAACCAGACATTTAAAATCTAAGTCTTTCAACTGCCTATCCCTCATGATCTGTCTGAATTAGCACAGAGTAATTCACTACACTCAATTAAGAAAGAATATGAACTACTCAGCTGAATTCACAACAGCAAAAAAATTCCCGTGACAAATTATTACAGATACAACACTTTCCTAATAAATTCCAGAGTTTTCTTTCCTTTTTATCATCTTTTACTCACTGTTTCAAGTCTCAGTTTTTCTTCCATTTGTTAGCAAAAGCTTTTGGAAACTACTGTAACTGCTTTCTTAAAAACACTCAGAAAAATATTTACTATATTGACTTCACTCATATTTATTTAAGCGTCTTTCAGTATCATTAAATAGAGAAAAATAAGACTCAGCTGCACGTGATGAGAGGTTAATGAAAAGTTTGATTTAACAAATGCTTTTCCTTTGACAACAGATAGTAAATCCTGATGAAGTAGCTCCTTCCTCAACTGTAATAAGCCTTTATGTTCAGAGATTTTGACCCTACCATTGGTACACATGAACCAGAGTATCTTCTTAAAAGTTTGTTCCATTTTATAACAGACTTGACTTTAAGTACATTCCATAACCAAGACACGGGTCTAGTCTAATGTCACTACAGATCACAAATCAAAAGCTGACTAAGCCAACAGAGTTTGGCTGGTCCTGGTTTCAGTAAGGGTACGAGCTAGAGGGTCTGCTGTCCCTGACCTCGCCAGTGTGCTCCGTGTTACTAATTCTGAAACCATTGCTCATACCGCTGTATTTGTTGGTCAGGCATACCCATCAGAAGCACCTTCCTGGCACTTTCACAGTAACTGCCTCAACTCTTCTTCATTCTCTACTTCAGGCACTTTTGCTAAAGCCTTAAAAATTCATACCAGGGGCTACACGTGCATTAACTGTTCTTAGGCTGACCCTGTGCCCTCTCCTTCCCACGTCACTGGGAGGGTGCTCTATCTGCTCTTGCACCATCCCCGCAATCCTCTTTTCTTTGTACCTAGAACAGTACCTGAATACTCCTGTGTTTTACATGTACCAGGACGGACAGAATTAGCTGAGGCAAGACAAAATCATTACACTGGAACAGTGTCACACGCTCTTTCTCAAAACACTTTGCTGCTGGTCCCCCGTGCCCAGCCCTTGCCCCAAGGTGGACCGTTCCTTCTGTCCATACCCACTCACAGCTGGAGAGCACCTGAGCCTCCCGCAGTGCCTGCTCCCACCCCTGCTCGTCCACGGCCCACCCACCTCTCATGCGCGCATAGACTTTGGTACCTGATGGCGAGCCTCACTCAGTTTTTAAACCAACAGCAAATATCAGAAGCTGGATTCAGGTAAGGTTTTCAAGTGGGTTTTTTTGCATTTTGACAAACACAGTAGTGTCCACACCCTGCTGCCTGCAGCAGTTACTGAAATTGTTAACTGAACACAATGTTCAAAAAGCAACACATTTCAGGTAAGTGCCACTGAAGCTAGGTGCAAGCTTTCACATCACGCTGCTCTGGTCACGCAAGCCACCTCCAACATCCCAACACACATCACTGGCAGCAGGCACCGACATTCACATACGTGCTCTGTCATATTATCAGGCAGCAAGGCTGACAGAAACACTCCTATTTTTATTGCTGTTGATGGACCTCACTGAAACTAGCAAGAATTATCACCGGTTTTTTGACAAAACAAAAACACAAGCTGGAAAAAAGGTAGAGACATACTATCTCAAAAGCCAACAGATGGAAGGAAAAAAAACCACAGCACAATTACATCAGACATGAAGTATGGAGGTGGAAGAAAAATCCTCAGAAGTGAGAATATTTTGCATTTAGAGGAATGAAATTAAGAAAATTAATCAGATAGCATTTTGAGCTATGTTCTTGATGGCTGATTCTGGTAAGGAAAAAAAGTAGGAGGAGACCAATTTTATATAGAAGACTAAACAGGCAAATTTTAGCTGGGATCAATAAGATAAAATAAGGATGCACTTGAAAAATACCAGAAGAAAAAAAATGTTTAAAGGGAGGAAAATGCATTTCCCAGCATCTTGAGTGCATTTCATCTGTTTCTATAGGGGAAAAAAAAAAAATCCATTTCTTAAATGATGTGACCTAACACAGCTTTAATAACCACAAAGAGACTAAACTCTTAGGATCAATATGAGAAGATTCAATTAGCAAGAATTGAAAAGATCAAACCTCAAGTTTACTACGCTGTATTCAGATTCATCTGTTCTCTCAGTACAAAGTTGTTCTAAAATGAAGATTAAAAAAAAATCTATTTTTGTTTCACACCTAACACTACTGTCACTCACACTGACTATTTTCTATTAGCATATACAGCAAAGGTAGTTGATGTTTCTTTACGATCATGACATATAATCACTTGCTGTATTAATTTAAACAACCTCTTCCTATTTTTGATCAGAGGTAACTGTTTTCCCTAAAGCAAGGTCTTTATTTTCTCAAATAAAGACACTCCAGCGTACGCAGAAGCCATTCTATTAATGCAGCGCAAGCTGCTCCACTGTGGCCAGGTGCCAAGAATGGCTTTGCTCCAATTATCACAGCACTATGTCTTGCTCTATGCTAGTATAACTGGTGTAATACAAAAAGGGTTTCTTCATCAAGCAGATTACATGGGTCACTTGAACTTCAGATTTTTTTTTGTACAACTGGGTTTTCTTTATCAATCATTAACTTTTTATTCTTTTTTGCTTTCTAAATAATATATGCTAAAAAAAAGCTGACACATTTGCAAAAGCACTCCAGTATTCTGCAATACTTTGTACACAATTCTTGTCTGTTTACATTCATTTGCAACATCAATTTTCATCACAGCTAGAAATACCTACTTCTCCAGGATCCGTAAGTTTCCAGTGTTTGCTATCAGCCTTCTGCAGAATCTACCTTTTTGTTTCAAAAACATACAGCTTTCTAACCCAGATGGCTACACCTCGCCATATGTGAACACATAAAACCAACGCTGTGCTGTAAATGCAGAGGCAGGCAGCTGCGGTATCTCTGATGCTACGGGGATATATCTGGTTTTATACTGTTACTTTGACAAACAGCAGAGATTGACAGATGTGGGCCAGGTCTGTCTCTCCTCTGCTTTGGAAAGCTCTCAAAAAAAGCTTAGACGCTTTTGTATGAGTAAGACCTAGGAAAGGTGCTTAGAGAATTGTAACTTATTAGAAATATCATGGCCAATTTTGCAACAATTGCTGCTTTGAGGACATAAAGATAGAAAACACCGCTTTTCCTTCCAACAATTGGAATCTGTATTTGATAGCGCTTCAAAGATATTCCAGTATCTCTTAGCTAGACAGGAGGCAAGACAGATAAAACTGAGTTTGGGGGGGAAAAAAAAAAGTAACTTTCTCCTCCCCCCATACTTGGGAAAGGCAGAAAACATTGAATAGACATAGTCCTCTATTGGTAAGATGAAAAAGCAGAAGTGTAAGAGCTGAGGGAAAAAACCACCACGACAGTACATAAAATACTGTGAGGGAGGCACTGAGAAAAAACAAGGTTACAAAGAGAATCCATCCCTTCCTAATAACAAATATTAGGCTATAAGATTTTCAAAAACAATTAGAAGCATGACTGCAACAAGTCTAGGCATATTCAACCTAGATACCAAATAACCTGAAGGAAAAGGCTTTCTTCCAATCTTTCCTGACCTGTTCACAATAATTTTGACTTAAAACAAGAGAAAGAAAAAAAAAATGAAAAAAAGGAAAAAAATCATTTAAGAAAGCACTGACCACAAAAGTCAAATTAACTCCCACCTCAAAAGGGAAAAAAGCCAGAAATGCGTAAGCTGAATATAATTATTAACAGCAGCAGCATTCTGATGAGGATTTGCAATCCCACTGGTTCAGTTTTCCTACCACATCATTCTAATATATCACTGGGAGCAAGAGCAATGGAGGCAATGCGTTGGGGGTTATATTAATACAATGACTGATGTATTAGCTCTTATCTTTGCCTGAACACCTGCAGTTACCAACATCCCGTCCTTCATCAGTGTCAATACCATGAAAAGAACGTTCTGCCAGGCTGCGATGGGGCTGCTAGACTAGCAACGTCAATGCAAACAACTGTATGGATCACCGCCTCCACCGTGACTTTCTGTCTTGCAGCACAAACGTTTTGACAACAAAATATGTCAGCTCACCATACCGTTGTCATAACAGGTCAAAACTTCAATGCTTTCAACATTTACACTTGAAAGTACCAACTGACTCTGAATATTTCACCCAGGGCAAATCAATGTATCAAACCCTACTCATCGCTTGCACAGATTCTGTGGGTTTCCACACCTTTTTGTGTATTTCTGACAGACTCTTTGTTCCCTTGAAGTCCCAGACACCCCGGACAAAGAATTATTATAAGGCTATCCATTAAAACCTCTGATGCATGGTAAAGAGCCCACTTAAGGAGTATGAGTGAGAACAAAGAACCACGGAGAGCAGCCTTACGGTGTTTAAATACTAATAAAGACTTGAAATATATTACAGGACACCCTAACGTCAGGCTAAGTGTAAAGATTTATCCCAGTACTTTTAAGGAAATCATCTAAGTGACACAGTTATGTATTATTTACCCCTCCAGAAACATAAAGATACCGATTCTGCACCAGGACACCCACAAGAAGTCTCACCGCAAGCGTTTACGATGGGATTTATACAGCCTCCAACCAGTGACCGAAGTTTGAAATAACTCTCCTAAGTGTGCAGGAGGAGTAACACCCTCCCCTTCAAAGCAAAAACGCAAATTAAACTGAAAACCAGAATCTTCCGCCATGCACGGGTTTTAAAAAGGTTTAAAAGGTAAGGTTTACCAAAGCCATCCTCGGTGCCGGCACAGCGGCGGCCGGCCC